GGAAGATCGGTTTCCGAATCGAAACCTGCCAACGGGGCAACGGTGAGCGGCGGATTCGCTTTGAGATCAAGCCGATAGCCGTACCGAATCGTGTTGACCACCCACGGGTCGTCGAACACTTGTTCCCAATTCTCCCAGTAAGTCTGGAGTCTGGCTCCCACTGGGGAAGGAGAGGGGGCCCTGACAGGTTGCGACAGGCGCAACTGTCCAGGGCCAAGTGACTCGGGTTCGCCTAAGGGCCAACCGAAGTTGGCGCTGTCGGCATACGAACCCCTCCAATGAGAGTCACCTGGAGGGGCCCTTGCCGTCCGTCGACGACTTGGGCTTCCCCCAGTTCCCCGTCTTCCCGCGAAAGGGCAGCTGATTGCCCATACCGGAGCCCTCAGGGCGGGGCTACTTCCCAGAGGAAGAAGAACCCGACCCCTTAGACCTACCGGCCGCAGCAGCCTGGGGCGCGCTCCGGTTAGGAGCGGCACCCAGGCGCCTATGCAGGGACCCAACAAGAGCAAGTGTGTGCCGAGAGTCCTCGGCAACGTACTCCAGGGAAGCATTTAAACTGAGCAGGCAGTTGTAAATGCGCTGGTCACGGTCCGTGGGAGAACCTTCGACCAGACGGGCCGCTGCAGCCAAGTAAGTGTCTCCGTGAGACATGGAGTGCCGAGCGAGGGCGTCCAGCTGGTGCAAGGTAGCTTGCGTTACCGTAGCAGCCGGTGGGGCACGGACACCCAACCGCTCAACATGGGCCTCCGCGGTAGGACCAGCCTCGGGAAAGGCAAGGTCATGTACCGGGAATAAACCCTTTCTCCACGACGTCGGAGGCAACGGGAGACCCCGACCGGAGGCCGCCGCGAAGGCGTTCTCCAAGGAAGGCTTGAAACCGCGCAGCAAGGTTGATGCGGGGAAAGCCGTGTCGGAAGACTCATCGTATACCTCGGAGGAACCCACAGTCGTGGATTCCCCGCGGTACCGGCCGGGGCATGTCCTCAAAGAGGTCATAAACCATGGCCACGCGGTCCTAAACCGATAGCGGGAGCAACGGTTCGGGGGAAGGACCGGTGACCACGGGAGCCGCCGCCGTACCGGTGGACCCCGCGTCCGACCCCGCGGCCACCGAAGTGGCCGGGGACGGAACAGCCAGCGGCCTATCCTGAGATAAGGCCGCCAGCTTGGAGTCCACAAGTTATTCAAGTAATGCAGCGACGGAATCCCCGGACAGCACACGGGCCGCCAAGAGATCCGCCGCTTTACCGGTGGACCCCGCGTCCGACCCCGCGGCCACCGAAGAGGCCGGGGACGGAACAGCCAGCGGCCTATCTTGCGATAAGGCCGCCAGCTTGGAATCCACAAGTTTCGACAACAATGCGGCGACGGAATCCCCAGACAGCCCGAGGGCCGCAAGGGGATCCGCCGCAGCCGAGGAGGTGGTACCCGCACGGGGACCCCGACCGGACGAACCGGCCACCACAGGGGTGGAGACGGACTGTACGTACAGCCGGTACCGCTCAAAATCCGCAGGCCCCAGACCTTCGCACAGGATGCACCGGGTGTCCCCGCAAGGAACCCTGCACCGCGGGCAACGATCGTGGGGATCCCGGGACGACAAAAACTTTCTGCACACCCCATAACTCCGAGGAGCAGGGGTAGAGGGGGTGGATACTGGGGACATATCCATGTCAGACATTGATTGTTTGCTATAAACAAAGAACAAAACATGGTTACAACGCACGCACCACAATGATTCACAAACGAACATTTTCACAAGAAAATAAACGAGCAATGTGAACATATAACATACACATATAACTTTTATTAAAGAAATAAGTTATGTTAACCCCCAAAACATACAAGAACAGGGGAAACGTAAAACACAACGTGCATACGCGAACCCCGCAAGTAGATAGAAAAAAGGGCGGGAAAAAATTTCCGTTTGGCGGGAAAATTATAACCAAGCGTAGCTACCGCAACGCCCCATAAAAGCACAGTTTATTAGAGAATAAACTATAATAAATATCACCAAATCTTCAAGGAACGCTTCAGCAGGAGAAAACACGTCTTGCTAAGCAGACGAAGGAGACAAGAGTGAAGGGTGTCACATGGCAGCTAGGTGGCTACGCACGTGCTGCATGAGGTAATTGAGATCTCTGTGGTAGATTTCGCTATAGCAGCAGTTGTGGGAGACAACAGCCTCGGTATAACAGTGGTAACGTATTACTTAATGTAATTGAAACCTGTCAACATCCAGAGCATGCAGCAGTTGCAAGGGCAAGGAGAAAGAAGGTTTTGAAGGTGATGGACTCAAAATCCTTGTCAGCAAGCGGTTCATACGCAGGCAAAGTCAAAAGATGGAGAATGACATTGAGATCCTCAGCTGGTGCTCAGAAATGGGATGACTGGTCCGCCAACTTGCAACCGTCGATATCTTTGACCCAGTTGTAGTAGCGATGACGGAGTTGATCGTAGCAAGATAGATAGTGGAAAGTGGACCTTTTGGCTTCCAGGAAGATCATAAATGATGGAGGCAGTGAGTGATCTGTTGCAGATAAGCAGTGGTGGTCTTTGTGATGTCGACAGTAGGCCTCAAACCCTTTCCATTTGTGGTCATAGAGGATCTTAGTAGAGGAACAGTGAGCATCTGTGATGGTATTGGCTACTTTCCTTGCATACCCTTTGGCGACAAGGGCCCTCTGTAGAGGTGGCAGACACAAAGATGCAGGTTTTCTGGTGATGGGTGGAGCAGTGAGGAGCGAGGCTGAACGAGAAGATCGTCCTGTAGTGGAAGACAGTAGAACTTTCTTTCTGCGAGTTGTACCAACGTTGTGTACCAACCACGAGTTAGCCAATACGGCGCAACCAAAATCAGTTTCAGGAAGCTGGTGGATGCCGCTTTCTCAAGGACAGTGGAGCGTTGAATCTGGTTTTAAAAAAGGTTTAGGTCTGCCTGAGCTTGGGTAAAATTGGCAGATCCACTGGAAGATCATCAGGTGTAGACGCCATTTCCTTGGAGATGGTCGGTTGATTTGGGATAGGGAGTCGGCTATGATGTTGTTGATGCTCAAATGTGTCTCACTCAAACCTGAATGTTGGTGGAGTCGATCAGCCGGAAGAAGTCAATCAACAGCAACAGGACCAACATCCTGGAGCCCATCTTGTTAATATACCAAACGACCAACAGAATGTCCAACTGGATCATGAGGTGGGACACACGAAGGAGCTCTGCTCAATGGGACACTGCCAAAATGTCCACCTTGAACTCGAGGTTGCAGATGGCAGAAGTGTGCTCCCAGACCCACTCTCGATGTGTCAACGAAGGGGTGTTGACATGGCGGCAAGTCAAAATGCCAAGAAGAGGTACCACTGGCAGTCTGGAGCGATTCTGGAAGGCAGAAATCATAGCCTGTAGGACTAATCCTAGCTTCAGGGCCAGAACATTATCCTGGTTGCAATGGCCAAAGGAGGCAGGTAGCAGGAGGGTTCATCAGAGGAGGAGGTGGCACAGGGTAGGATGTACACGAACCAGAGGTGGAGATGACAACTGGGAGCGACTAAGTAAGTGGTGATCCACACGAGCATCCGGCGGAAAGGAATGTCTACACGAAGGAGGGGACGTTTAGGCTCATCCTGGCAATGGTGATCCAAGGGCTGAGCCTGAAGAGGAGAGCAATAGTAGTCAACACTGGAGTGGAAGTCTGGCCAAGTCTGTAGCTTTTGTGCGCAAGCATTGATCCTGACAGGATCGATCCTCCAACCGTCAATCCTGAAAGCAATGAGGTGAACTGGAACGACTGTTCTTGGAACAGTGACCCTTGAAAGTAGAGTGAGATCAATGTCTGTCAATCCTTAGTAGGGGATGAACCCGTTCAACCAGTCCCAGGTGAAGTCGTATTTGTCACTGTCGCTGGAGGAGTGTCAGTATCTTTGGGCGATCATCACTAGCCGGATATCATGCAAAGGAGCAACAGGTGATCGAGGAGCGATAACAGTGTCGACAGAGGTTTAGTCGAAACATACTTAGACGAATTGATAGAGGAGAGAAAACTGCGAACGTCCATTGTAGCTGATTGTTCCGACTGAGGCGCGGACCAGGACGTTTTAGGAATGGACTGTTGAACGGGCACAGTATGGACGCAATTTGTGAGAATACATCCAATCCTAAACAGTCATCAGCCATCGATAGGACAGGCAAGGTGGATTCCAGAGGTGGTTTGACCTTTGTAACCAGCTAGATTTCTTCACAGAAGACGGTCCACTTTCCGAGTCTTTTGATTTTGAGTGTTGATCAATTTCGCGTTTGAGGCACTTGCATAGATAAATGTTGAAGGAGTGTTCCGTAAGATGGGCACACAGGGAACAACTTTGTTGGTACTCAAACCACAGCTTTGTCGTGAGGGTCTGAAGTAGAAAAGGTAGTTCTACAGTTAAGACAGGCCGTGCGATATTTCTGATCCGTGCACATCTTCCCTCAAACAATACTGCAAAGTCCGTACAATGTTGGTGCAAGGATCAGTACACAAAAAATGTATTCTCTGAAGTCAGTGCATGTCTCCACAGTGTGGTGATGAGAAAGAGAATGATGTGGCAGGGGTATTCACATGATCTGGTCCTGTAGGTCGCTACACTCGGGATTACAGTGCGTGACCCATTTGTTTGGTTGGAGACCACGGTGATGCTGGGATGTGTTTCGGTGAATTGTTTTTCAGAAGCTGGAAACATAAGATCGAAAGAAGGAAAAATGCATAGTGTGAGATAAGTTTAAAAACTTACATTTCATTAATAGGGCAATGGCAATTTACAAATCCAACTTTAAGCCAAACTGTTGCTCAGAAATGTTTGATACAAAATATTAAATGATAACATCCCAGGGTAAGCCCTCAGTCCATGGTCAAATTCAGAATTATATCAGACACCAAAAGTATTGAGGTAACATAAAGCAAGGTAGTCCACAATCGTGATGGCCTGATCACTTTGTGAGTTTATGATGTTTTACACTTGTCAATGCTTACTTGAATTTGAAGGAATAGTATTCTAGAAAGCCAAGGAAGAGATCTCCGAGAGAATCTTTGTTTTGTGTCTCCGTCAATGGCAGTTTCTCATTCAGTTTCAGTTCCCGGATGTCTGCATCAGGTTGGAATGTTTTCTGCCAAGAAGGAATATGTACTGTCACATTCAGGATCATACAGTCACTAGTCAAAGAACAGGGAAAATCCCCTTCCGAAACGAACCCAAACAGAACTTAATTAACATCGTCTAGGGTGGATGCAACAACCGGGTACTGGGCAGTACAAAATAGTCAAGGCCAGGGTAATACAAGACACCTGGGTACTGGGTGGTATAACATATCCAGGTACTTGGTGGTACAAGATACCCAGGTACTGGGTGGTACAAGATACCCAGGTATGGGTTGGTACAAGATATCCAGGTACTGGGTGGTACAAGATATCCTGGTATTGGTTGGTACAAGATATCCAGGTACTGAGTGGTATAATATACCCCTGTACTGGGTGGTACAAGATATCCAGGTATTGGTTGGTACAAGATACCCAGGTACTGAGTGGTATAATATACCCAAGTACTTGGTATTACAAGATATCCAGGTATTGGTTGGTACAAGATATCCAGGTATTGGGTGGTACAAGATATCCATGTACTGAGTGGTATAATATACCAATGTACTGGGTGGTACAAGACACCTGGGTACTGAGTGGTACAAGATACCTGGGGACTTAGTGGTATAATATACCCAGGTACTGAGTGGTACAAGACACCTGGGGATTGAATGGTACAAGACACCTGGGGACTGAGTGGTATAATATACCCATGTACTGGGTGGTACAAAATATCCAGGTATTGGGTGGTACAAGATACCCAGGTACTGAGTGGTATAATATACCCATGTACTGGGTGGTACAAGATACCTGGGTACTGGGTGGTACAAGACCCTGGGTACTAGGTGGTACAAGATATCCAGGTACTAGGTGGTACAAGACATCAACTTGTGAGACAAGGTAGTTTGATTTGTTCTTATGATCAATTTTCAAAAAAACTTTCTCCATATAGACACTGACACATTTTAATGAAAATGTAAATGACTTGTGCCACTTACTGGGAACTGTGTCTGGAGACAGGGCAGCACTGGGGGATTACAGCCAACTGAAACATCAAGTTCAAACTGCTGGTATGTTTTTGTGTTCACAGTGCAACTCAAACTGTTTTGTATCCAACAACCACATATTTAAGTCAGTCTATTACTAATATGAAGCAGTGTAGCCAACAGTGACAGACTAAGAATCAAATCATCAAAGTGTGAATTTGGCGCTATAGTCAATAACTGCACCTGGTTTTTTCTTTTAAAGAGTTAGAATAAATCCTTTAGATTTGAAGCTAAATTGTCCTAATAAAGACGGGCAAACATCTTTGAGCAGTAGTACTACATGGTAGTGGAGAAGACTTAAGAGACACAAGAACCTTTATCATACCTCAATGACAGAATGATGAGATTTGATTGGTCCATCTTACTTGATCCTGATCAAATACTATGTACAGTAAACTGCATTTTTAACAGCTTATAACGAACTGACCAATACAACAAACTTATTTTTAGTCCTGGTAATTTGTTGTATATATGCTGTATATATGCTTATTACGAACTATGGTTATTACAAACTAAAATTAGTGGTCCCTCTGAGTTCGCTATAACCGTAGTTTGCTGTGTACCGCCATGGAGGGAAAAGAATTCTCAGGGGGAATAAATGTCTCATACCCAGCCACGAGCAAGTCAGACTACACGTAGATCTCTGAGAGGTAGAATAAATCCCATATACACCTCTTCGAAGCAAAAAGCCGCAAGCTTTTCCTGAGTCAATGGAAGTCATGTGACATAGCACAAGTTAATCTCTGCTTAATTGAACAGCTGTTCTCTATCAATTTTTAATTAGTTTTAATTCTTTTACAATATGATTGTAAGATAAATGTGTTGTAGCAGGATCACGGGGGTACATGGGGTCTTATGCATCCTGCATTAGGGTTTATTAAACCTAACAAGGAACTCATGAAACCCCATGAACCCCTAGTTTCCACTGCATATTACGAGAGACTGAACTTATAAGACTGAAAGACATACAAGTGTTATCAAACTTTCATTTAGTCCAAACCAAATTCAGTCAGAATATTTTAAGAGGTATTTTTAAGTCCACATCAGTAGATTACAACCACCATCTCACCCTGTAAATAGTGTATCAGCATGAGGCCTAATGAGTAGCTGGATATCGTCTTCTTCCTTGCATCATTTATGTCATGGAATCTGGCCCAAAACTTGATGTACAGCATCAAGGGGCGTACCCGCCAGTCCACTGCAAAAATACATCACACTCCTCAAAAACACTCATTTGATTTGATGATTTTTGTAACAGCTAATTTAAGACAGAAAAAACACATTGCTTCACAGTCAAGGACAATGTCTTATGTAGATGCAGATTTGGATCATGAATCTAGTAGGAAAACACTATGAAACTGTCTGAAACTCCCGTGTAGCGACAAGTCAAAATCAAAATCGTTTATAGGGAGCAGCAGAGAGATATGGTTACCACAGCAAATCCATCAATAGATCATGTACAAAGATGAGTTGAAAAATTTGCCCTCCAAACCTCTTCAAAATGAAAACATCATAAAAACAAGAAAGAAGTGAGCAAAGCTCACATACCCCCGTTATCCCCGCTGGTAAACAACAAATAGTAAATAGTTTGTAATTAATTAAATATACCGGTACCTGTTGCTTTAAGTCAGAGGAACTGCCCTTTCCTTTGTTACCCCATGAGGATGCATTATGTTTGAAATGAACACATGTTTTTGCAAATATATTTCAATCTAGTGTGGGATAATCAATGCTCAGCACACCATACATTCTTTATGTTTCTTAATGTGTCCATAAATAAATTCAGAATTTTTAAACTAGCAAAAGGCACAAGTACTCATTGTGGTAAATGGGTGTAGCACGTTTGGTGAAGCTAGGGTGCATGGTTAAAAAGATATGGGCCGTACGAAACACCCACCCCAAAAGTTTAAGTTTCTAATGTTTCCATGGAAACGGCAAATATTAAAAAGTTCAGAATCTTCAAACTAGCAAAAGGCACAAGTACTCATTGTGGTAAATGTGTGTAGCAAGTTTGGTGAAGCTAGGGTGCATGGTTAAAAAGTTATGGGCCGTATAAAGCTCGGATGGACAGAGGGACGGAAGGATGGACGGACGGAAGGAGGGACAGACGGAACGCTATATACCCCCGATTTACTTCGTAAACGGGGGTATAAAAATATCTCCCGCCACAAATTTCTGAAAAATGTGGAACAGAATCAATCAATGAATTTATGTTAGCCTCAATAATTTATAGTCAATATGTCATCAAGAATCACCTGGAAGAGATTGAGGCTTCCACACAAAAGAGGCCCACTACGGGTTATGACCAGTGTTCGAAATAAAAACAACTGCCAAACTGCCTTCAGGACCCACAGACTTTAGAACATGCAGGACCTGACTAAATTCTTCAAGCCCTCATTTAAAAAAATGCAGCTTTACTTGACAAATAAATGGACAAGTAAGTTTACTGCTGGCCATACAAATTAGAAACTATAGGTCTGCCAAGAGATCTACCTGCCACAGGCAGGTGATTATTTCGAACTCTGGTATTGACTAATGGAGAAGGTTTCATTTTATTCAGAACTCACATTTTTAATCATTTTAGTTTTGCAGAAAAAATATTAAGGTATCAGTGTTTTTCTCTAAGACTTTGTAATTCTTTGGAACTATGTAAACTCATCTTCCCCAGGCAAGAGTGTCCACTAGCCTATATCAAAGCCTAGTTTCTACCCTTGCCACATCAAGCCCACTTTTCTTGGATCAATCCTGGCGCCACCTCGCATAGAACACAAGTTGTGCCCCTTGTGATGAAAGCACGATATCCAATCAGATCGCTGTTCTCATATCGTATGGCTTCACAAAGATGGCAACTACCATAGACGACGACCTAGTTGATCAAATACCGAAAATTCGCAATTTCATCCCTGACAGACAAACGCAGGCAATCATTGAGGGGCTTAAAAGATTAAACAGACATATCTGTGTCAACAAAGACAGGCATCGGTAAATCACTTTCATATGGTTGTGGATGTTGATTCTGTAAAACGTTCTCTGACTGGACTAACAATATGTGCACAGGAAAGTGGGCTTGGTGTGGCAAAGGTGGAAACGAGTTTGATCAAAAGGCTAGTGGACGCTCTTGCCTCTGGAAGATGACATAAACTTACTTGTTGCATAGTATCTGAGTAAATGTGTATTCCTGATTCCAACAGCGTTGTTGATATTCAGATCACACTCAAAGTCCCTGAATAATAAGAGTGCACACTTAGCAATCATGTCTACTGCATACACAAGAACAAAGTCAGGCAAAAGAAAGTAAAAAAAGTCAGTTTGCACCAAGAACATTATCATTTTCAGTTTCAAAACAGGAATATTATAGTCTGGAAACATGCATTAGTTTTTTTCACATCTGTTTGTGTATTGATGAAAACATATATATTTTATGCCCCAGAAAATGTAACACAAATATTCACAACTGAGACCAAACAAAATCCCACAGGTATCTTTCTCTTCATAATAAAGAGTCTGTGATGTACTGAGAGTTTTTTGGGCTTTGGTCCTGTCCCACACTGAAGTACAGGTAGCACGTGTGGTGTTTCCTAAGGCAAGTGATTATGCCTCGCACAGCAATATAAATGGGTACTTGGAAGGAAGAGATGCTCATGTGACTATTAACCTTCTTGGCGGCTTGCGCTGTATACTTCCCAGGGAGATGAGAAATAAAATCGAGTGCACACTGATCAATTGCCCAGGTTGATAATATGACTGTTAACCTTCTAGCACCTGACAAGGCAGCTTCAGGTGTGTGTATATTTCCCAGGGAAAGGAGAAAGAAAATTGAGTGTGCAGTGATCGACTGACCAGGTTAATAATGTGACTTAACCTTCTGGTGCCTGACAAGGCAGCTTGGGTTGTATATTCCCCAGGGAGAAACTCAAGTGCACACTGATCCAGTGACTGGGCTAATAATGTTAACGTGTTGCGCATACACCAAGAGTATGGAGGCAAGTGCAATGTAAGTACACACATTACTATTATTATTTATAGAAAATCATATTGATGTAAAAATCACCTGCATTTATCCCAGAATCGAAGAATTGGGACAGCAGCTCTGATGACTTGACACTTTTTGACAAAGACTGCAAGAAGACATGACATGCATGTATTCAACATTCCTTGGATATATCGTCAAACATACAGAACCCACACCTTGGTGAAACAGATACAACACATCCTGTCACAAAAGGTAGGAATCACCAAGTAGAAGTTTAGCCCCTGAATTCAGGGAAATCTATTTGTTAAATATGTTTCACTCAGCCTGAAAAGATACTTTGTGAAGTTGGTTCACAATATTCCATAAATAGTGTGACAATTTTTTGTGTAATGTTGATATCCCGGGGTAAAACAGAATAACAAAAGTTTATTTTTTTCACACATCTCTTTTGAGAATCAAATACTAGTATTGCTTAAAGAAAACTGAAATACATGATCTGAAAGAGTGAGTGAGTTGGGTTTAACACCGCTTTGAACAGTATTCCAATTATATCACGGTGTGTCAGATGATGTGGGAGGAAAGACATTCCCATGAACATAGATTTCTGGCCAGACTGTCCACCAGCTTGTGGATTATCCAATGTGCAGATAATGAAAACAATTTGTGAAACACTGCATTACGACAGAGAGAAGCATTTAGATTTTCTTTAGTTTCATGTTGCTGTGCATCAATGAATTGATTCAACTTAAACATCATCAGTAAACTAGAATGTGTAATGAAGTCGCTTACAACAATTCCTTAACGACTTCTGTAGCAGGAACAGTATCTCTGTAGCCTCCTTCCTCTGGTCAATCTGAAAACAGCCAACCACAACATCAAGTCTAATTTCTTCTTCGGAATTTTCAGGCAATGAGGTAGAAGTGGTACAGTGGTAGTGCTGTGAATGACGTGTGATGTACCTATGTTATGTTTGACAGCATGACGGCGAGGTCATACACAGGACTGTGAATGACGTGTGATGTACCTACGTTATGTAAAAAAAGCATGAGAGAGAGGTCATACACAGGGCTGTGAATGACGTGTGATGTACCTACGTTATGTATAGACAGCATGAGGCAGAGGTCATACACAGGGCTGTGAATGACTTGTGATGTACCTACGTTATGTTGGACAGCATGAGGCAGAGGTCATACACAGGGCTGTGAATGACGTGTGATGTACCTACGTTATGTTGGACAGCATGAGGCAGAGGTCATACACAGGGCTGTGAATGTCGTGTGATGTACCTACGTTATGTATAGACAGCATGAGGCTGAGGTCGTACACAGGGCTGTGAATGACGTGTAATGTACCTACGTTATGTATAGACAGCCTAAGGGAGAGGTCGTACACAGGGCTATGAATGACGTATGATGTACCTACGTTATGTATAGACAGCATGAGGCAGAGGTCATACACAGGGCTGTGAATGACGTGTGATGTACCTACGTTATGTTTGACAGCATGAGGCAGAGGTCATACACAGGGCTGTGAATGACATGTGATGTATCTACGTTATGTACAGACAGCATGAGGCAGAGGTCATACACAGGGCTGTGAATGACGTGTAATGTACCTATGTTATGTATAGACAGCATGAGAGAGAGGTCGTACACAGGGCTGTGAATGACGTGTGATGTACCTACGTTATGTACAGACAGCATGAGGCTGAGGTTGTACACAGGGCTGTGAATGACGTGTGATGTACCTACGTTATGTTTGACAGCATGAGAGAGAGGTCATACACAGGGCTGTGAATGACGTGTGATGTACCTACGTTATGTTTGACAGCATGACGGCGAGGTCATACACAGGGCTGTGAATGTCGTGTGATGTACCTACGTTATGTATAGACAGCATGAGGCTGAGGTCATACACAGGGCTGTGAATGACGTGTGATGTACCTACGTTATGTTTGACAGCATGAGGCAGAGGTCGTACACAGGGCTGTGAATGACGTGTGATGTACCTACGTTATGTTGGACAGCATTAGGCAGAGGTCATACACAGGGCTGTGAATGACGTGTAATGTACCTACGTTATGTATAGACAGCATGAGAGAGAGGTCGTACACAGGGCTGTGAATGACGTGTGATGTACCTACGTTATGTATAGACAGCATGAGGCTGAGGTCGTACACAGGGCTGTGAATGACGTGTAATGTACCTACGTTATGTATAGACAGCCTAAGGGAGAGGTCGTACACAGGGCTGTGAATGACATGTGATGTACCTATGTTATGTATAGACAGCATGAGAGAGAGGTCATACTCAGGGCTGTGAATGACGTGTGATGTACCTACGTTATGTTTGACAGCATGAGAGAGAGGTCATACTCAGGGCTGTGAATGATGTGTGATGTACCTACGTTATGTTTGACAGCATGAGAGAGATGTCATACTCAGGGCTGTGAATGACGTGTGATGTATCTACATTATGTTTGACAGCATGAGTGCGAGGTTGTACACATGAATGTGAATGATGTGTAACGTACCCACGTTATGTATAGACAGCATGAGAGAGAGGTCATACACAGGGCTGTGAATGACGTGCAATGTACCTACAATATGTATAGACAGCATGAGAGAGAGGTCATACACAGGGCTGTGAATGACGTGTGATGTACCTACGTTATGTACAGACAGCATGAGGGAGAGGTCGTACACAGGGCTGTGAATGACGTGTGATGTACCTACGTTATGTATAGACAGCATGAGGCAGAGGTCGTACACAGTGCTGTGAATGACGTGTGATGTACCTACGTTATGTATAGACAGCATGAGAGAGAGGTCGTACACAGGGCTGAGAATGACGTGTGATGTACCTACGTTATGTTTGACAGCATGAGAGAGAGGTTGTACACAGGGCTGTGAAAGACGTGTGATGTACCTACATTATGTATAGACAGCATGAGAGAGAGGTCGTACACAGGGCTGTGAATGATGTGTGATGTACCTACGTTATGTTTGACAGCATGAGGCAGAGGTCGTACACAGTGCTGTGAATGACGTATGATGTACCTACGTTATGTATAGACAGCATGAGAGAGAGGTCGTACACAGGGCTGTGAATGATGTGTGATGTACCTACGTTATGTTTGACAGCATGAGGCAGAGGTCGTACACAGTGCTATGAATGACGTGTGATGTACCTACGTTACGTATAGACAGCATGAGGCAGAGGTCGTACACAGGGCTGTGAATGACGTGTGATGTACCTATGTTATGTATAGACAGCATAAGGGAGAGGTCGTACACAGGGCTGTGAATGACATGTGATGTATCTACGTTATGTACAGACAGCATGAGATAGAGGTCATACACAGGGCTGTGAATGACGTGTGATGTACCTACGTTATGTATAGACAGCATGAGAGAGTGGTCGTACACAGGGCTGTGAATAACGTGTAGGGTACCTATGTTATGTATAGACAGCATGAGGGAGAGGTCGTGTGAATGACGTGTGATGTACCTACGTTATGTATAGACAGCATGAGAGAGTGGTCGTACACAGGGCTGTGAATGACGTGTAATGTACCTACGTTATGTATAGACAGCATGAGGGAGAGGTCGTACACAGGGCTGTGAATGACGTGTAATGTACCTACATTATGTATAGACAGCCTAAGGGAGAGGTCGTACACAGGGCTGTGAATGACGTGTAATGTACCTACGTTATGTATAGACAGCCTAAGGGAGAGGTCGTACACAGGGCTGTGAATGACTTGTGATGTACCTACGTTATGTATAGACAGCATGAGAGAGAGGTCATACTCAGGGCTGTGAATGACGTGTGATGTACCTACGTTATGTTTGACAGCATGAGGGAGAGGTCGTACACAGGGCTGTGAATGACATGTGATGTATCTACGTTATGTACAGACAGCATGAGATAGAGGTCGTACACAGGGCTGTGAATGACGTGTGATGTACCTACATTATGTTTGACAGCATGAGTGCGAGGTTGTACACATGAATGTGAATGATGTGTAACGTACCCACGTTATGTATAGACAGCATGAGAGAGAGGTCATACACAGGGCTGTGAATGACGTGTGATGTACCTACGTTATGTATAGACAGCATGAGAGAGTGGTCGTACACAGGGCTGTGAATGACGTGTAATGTACCTACATTATGTATAGACAGCATGAGGGAGAGGTCGTACACAGGGCTGTGAATGACGTGTAATGTACCTACGTTATGTATAGACAGCATAAGGCAGAGGTTGTACACAGGGCTGTGAATGACGTGTGATGTACCTACATTATGTATAGACAGCATGAGGCAAAGGTCCATGTCACTGTTTCTTGTGCCGAAACCATTCATGGAAGACCCAACAATGTACAGCCCACAAACTGGAAGAAAACACAAAAATATCTCAGTTGATACTGCTGTATTCATTAATCACAGCAGAGTGAGTAAGTGAGCCTATTAAAAGTAGTGAGAGTTCATTTTGTTGAAACAAATATTTTGTTCCTTTAGCACATTCAACACATGCAATGTTTTCACTGAACATGAATAACAGAAAGAGCATTTAGCATCAATGACAAGAATCCTGGCAACTAACGATAACAAACACATTACTATTCTTTGGGACAATACTAATAAAATCCTAGATTTTTTTTATATTACTATTAGTAAATTTATCCTACATTGCTACTTAATGCATTTTCTGCTTGTCATTGAGAGAGAGAAAGAGCTTGTGAGAGTTGTGTGGCTAACCCTATCACAGAGCTCACATGGGACCCCCGAAGTAGTGACATCACTGATCAGCACATAACTGCTAAAACAGAGCATACTCCATTACTTCTTGATGCATCTGCATCGGACGGTATGGAGGAGGGCATACCTTCAGATGTTATCTTCCGACTCTCTACAGACTACACCAACCAGCAACAACGGATGTCCGGCATTGAGGGCGACCATTCCTGTCAGCAGGGAGGGAGAGTCAGTATGCGTGATGTCCAGGTATCATTGTAGAAAAGAAATTAAAACGGAGTTAAAATCCAATACTGACGTACCAAACCAATGTGTGCAGCATGAAACTTTCTAGTCTGGGGTCGGCTCCGGACACATGGAAGCTTCAGTGGGGCCTGGGGGCGGTTAGTGGCTATAGACAGTGCGTAGACAGTGTCTGAGTGCCAGAAGCAACCTTCCATGATGATGCAGATGGAGCAGTTGCTATGGAGGGCCATGGTGGAGGCTACAGCCCGGATATCATGAGGGTTGTTGGCTCTCGGAGGATCCAGTCTCACAGCCTTGTAGCCCTGGAGGATGAGGGCGTGAAGCCACAGGGCGATCTTGCTGCGGATGACTTCTGCCTGAGACGTTGGAGATATCGATATTAAGAGGCAACAACATTTTCCAGGGTGATTCCTGTAGTGCCGGATGAAGCATCGCGGTGCCAGTACAGGATATAATATTAGTTCCAGTTTGTCTTTAATCCCCACTATCGAAGATAGGGGCGTGATGGTGAAGGATCTATCCGACTGTCCTGGGAGTTGATTCTTGGCGATGAAATCCCAGCACAGCCAAAGATGAAAAGCTCCATGCGCTCTGTGCTCAAATCTGACACAGGTGATGCCTAAGGCATGTAGTTCGGTCACTCGTGCCGCTGTTGCTAGAGCCAGGAGAAAGATGGTCTTTTTGGTGAGGTTGTAACACGACACTGAGTGGAGAGGTCAACTTTCGATCTTCCAGAACTGTCAGGACGTAGTTAAGGGCCACAAAGTAGGTCGTGATGGTACTGCCCCTTAGATGATGCTTGTGGCACAGGAGCAGCAGGTATTTTGCCAAGAATTGGGGTGACGCAGCGGCAGGATCCTGGTGTTTCTCCTTGCAGAAGGGAGTGCCACTTGTCATCACAAAGGCCCCTGGTGGAAGGTTTGTGCACTAAGGTGATGGCTTTCACTGCCCTTGCTCAGTAGCCCTTGGTGCCTAAAGGTCTTTATAGCTGAGTTGACATAGGGTTTAACGTCGCGTCCAAGATTGCACTCATATAGCGACGTGCATGCACGTGTTTGTGTGTGGTTGCTGGTACTAGTCCAGACTGATGCTGATTTATAGTGCCAGCTCACTAAGATACCATGTCGCAGTTCAACATGAATTCCCCACTCAGACACAGTATACTCAGACACAGACTCCGAGTCGCCCAGTCCTTGTTTTCGCCCCTTAAAGCTGAACGCCAGACAGGGTAACAACAAGTACCATCTTTTAACATCTTTTGGTATGACGCAGGCGGAGATCAAACCCCAGCCCTTCCGCTAATGCTCTTTGTAGATGGACCAGGCGTGAAGATGTAATCTGTCTGGCGGATTAGTGAAGCTGGGAGGTCTGGAAGTTCAAGGGGGTTGGTGGGGCACATTCTTCTGAGGTCCACATTCTTCTGCGGGTTGATCTGATCTTCTGAAGGACCCTGGGAAGGAGCTCTGAAGGAGGAAAAGTGTATAAGTGTATGGCTCAGCACCGGATAGATTCTGGTGGCAAACAGGTCTATGTTGGGATCGCCGAGGTTTTGACAGACAAGACCGAATGCATCCGGATGGAGTTTCCATTCTGTAGGGCTACCCTATCTGGCTAAGAGAGGGCATCTGCAAGGATGTTGCGAGATAGAGCCAGGATAAGCTCTAGGTTGTTGATGTGTCACTGTTGTTGAGCGGCGGACCACAGCCCTGAGTCGACTTGACCCTCCAGATGTGCTCCCCAGCCTTGGAGTGAAGCGTCTACGAACAGGTTAAGACATTCGACTCCATCATCCATCATTTGAGATGTGGCTTGAGGTGGTCCGGGAGTACATTGAGACTGGTCCTGGAGCCTGATGTAGGGAGCGAGAAACATTTGGATAGGGCAGAGCTGAAGCCTTCCTTAGGATGTCGGTTCCTGCTCCGACGTGAGGAGACCCCGGAGCGCTTGCCATGGCAGTGAGTGCGGGGTTGTTGAAGAGCCAGGACACAGTCAGAATGCAGCCTACGATGAACTGAAGATCATACAAGGACATGAGCTCCAACTTCTGGAAATTTATGATCCAGCCCAACTGATGGAAGAGACGCTGTGTGAAGTCCCTGTGGGGGATCAGGTGGACCAGTCCTGGTGGTTCAGGAGGGAGTCATCAATGTACGCCTCAAACTGGACACTTCTAAGATGGAGGTAGGCAGCTATGGGTTTTGCGAAGCAATGTGAATAGTCACGGGGTTTAAGATATTCAAAATGGGAGAACTGCCCATTGATAGTGGACTCCCTCGCAGAAAAAGTGAAGGAATTTCCTGTCGTTGGGGTTGATCAGTACATGTAGGTACGCATCCTTGATGTCTAGGCTTATCAAGGCATTGTGGGCCTGGATCTTGGATCTGAGGAGCCTGAGCCTGAGTAGCCGGAAGTACAGTGGACACTCCAGCTAGCGCTTGAATGTAGCCAAGTTGTGGTACTACTAGTCCAAGTCCTTTTTGGGGAAGAGATCTCAGTCTCTATGTAGGCCGGCCGATTGTCCAGGGCACGGATGGTGGTAGAGCGGTTGGAGCCAGTCATGTGGTACAGGTCGTCATCCAAGGTGTGAGCTGCATCCGCAATGTCCACGGCATGGACTGGAAAGTCATCCTTCCTATATTAAGGCGCCTTGAAGGATGGTGTCAATGAGAACTCGGTGAGGGTCCAATCTCATTAAAATCAGACCTTAGTTCTCGCTGCTGCTAAACAAAGATCTGAGAACACTCCATTACGGGTCATGTCAGTACAACCTTTAGCGAAATTTGACCGACCACAGAAACGACGAACAAGAAGTCGACATCAGCCAATTAGAAAGCAGCTTTCTCAAGCTTTACGGCACTTGTTTCAACCTGGCGACTTCCAGTTCAGACTACGCTTGAAAACTATGTTGACACAGTTCTCGATTCAAATTTTGAAAACTGAACAAACGAACATTTCAGAATGTCTAATATATGGTTGCGTTTATATGGCAGTGCTTCCCACGTACTGTGCAACGCCTCCTCTGTTGAAATGTTTAGCCCACGGAAGCGAGAGATGGACGATAATTTTGACGGAATCAGTCGAAGGGGCTGTAACTGTTGTTCGGAATACCCCGTGTTAACATTGTCAAGGCTGCACGAGTAGAAAACACATTCCGACTGTCACCTCCATGATCTGGTAAGCGACGCTTTGATTGGGCGGATGAAAGGTCGTTCTGACGTGACCCTAATGGGATGTCCTAAGATCTTCGTTTAGCGCTAGTGAGAACTAAGATCTGATTTTAATGAGACTGGATGAGGGTCCGAATCCTAGAGGCGCCTGAAGCGCCTGTGCCATGGAAAGCTGGTCATGCGCAGGTAGTGTCGAGCTCAATGTAGTCTGCGCCACGTGTCCTCTGTGTCTGCCTTTAGAGAGTTACCTGTAGGTATTTGGAGAAAGCTGAAGGGGATAGTAGCAGACAATCTTTACACTTAGATGTCTGGGGGGCATGGGTGGCGCAGTCGTCTAAGGCGGCGTGATTTGCTGTGCAGAGGGCGTCCCTTGGGCACGTCAGAAACCTATGACTGAGGGTTCGAATCCCAGTTCGCCCCGATTATGTTTCTAGGTTTGTCAGCACCATACCCGTGCTCGTGGGTTTCACCGAAGTGGGAAACATCTGAGACCTGCATCACTTTGGGCTTTCCTCCCACAATAAGCTGACACGCCGCGATATAACTGGAATATTGTTAAAAGCGGCGTTGAACCCAACTCACTCACTTAGAGGTCTGGGTGCAGATGGTGGTGCAATTCAGACATTAGAGATGAGGGTCCCACCCCGACTTATTTCCGTGACACTTGCTTCAACGGGGCATGTCTCTGCAATGAATGCAGAGTGTAATCAAATAGTCTTCACACCCGATTATGTATGCTATAATCATTTATCCCAGCCATGTGGGTTTATAATCACCACAAAAAAACAGCAGTTTAATAACAATAATATCACTAGGGTACAACAATAAATTTGCAACATCAAGCAATACAGAGAATACAGATAGTGTTGAAAACACTCAAAGGATTCAAGAACATATGCTGGGACTCAAAAACAGGCCTTGTCTCACAACTTCCGGGGTCACATGGAGCTGTGTGATAGGGTTAGCCACAAAACTAGTTGGAACAATTTCTTCAGCTAGAACTCTCACAAGCTCTTTCTGTGTCAAGAAGGAGCAGTAAATGCATTAAGGAGTAATGCAGGATAACTTAAAACATTATTCTATTTGAAACAGATGAAACAGTCTGTTCAAGAGAGATTTCCTGAAACCCAGCATACGGGCACTTCTCATATGTACTCTCACAAACACCCATACTTACATGGAAAGACACCCTGAAACACAGCATACAGGGCATTTCTCAGTCGTACTTTAGCCTGGTAGATGTCTTCTGTCTGCTGAGTCTGCAGGAAATACTGCCATATAGACTCCGATATCTGGAACAATTTGGATATTCATGACATGAGTGTACTTATCCTGAAACAACAAACTGCAAGTTCCTTCTACAATCTGATCATATAACACAGAACCCAAAACTTGACTCTTCTAGACTTAGAGCCCATTTTGTTGCTCTTGGTTACCAATCAGAGTTATAATCATTGAGCCCTAACTTTCCTTCTGGACAATGATTGTGACTATTTGCTTTGATTAGGGGTGGGGAGTAGAGACCTAGTTTCAGACAACAAAGCCAAAGGTGATGAAGTTGTACCTACCCTCTCTGCACCTGTGGGGGCAATAGCTTGAGGAATGGACCACTGAATACCTGTAGGAAAACCCTTCTCCCCAGGCTTTCCCATGCGGGGTTTCTTTGGCGTCTCGAACCGTGACCCACTCCGAGGTCGCTTCATACCAGGGTTCTCCTTACTACTGTTAGACCTGGAAATATTACATTGAAGGACCTGGGTATATGCTAGGGTTGGGATGAGTCCAAATTTACTACCTGGGTACCCACTGTAGATTCACAATGCCATTTAGAAAGTGGTCAAATGTAACCAATGTTATATTTGGGATAACACTTTCTTAGTATAGTACAGATTCTCATACTTTTTTGGGTTGAGTCCCGTCCCGGATTCGAACCCACACATGCCAGAGTGAGGCACCTAATCGCCAGCACACAAAGTCAGCGATCTAACCCACTCAGCCACCGAGGCTTCCACAAAAATGAAAGTCTAACAACTGGTAGTCTAGATCACGTACTTTGAGGACCCCTCTGACAAGTGTAAATTGGCACGGCTCCCATGGCCGAAAGCTATGAATACACAATGCCATTTGGAAAGTGGTCAAATGTAACCGATGTTACAAAAAAGCACGAGAATCTGTACTTTACTAAGAAAGTGTTATCCCAAATATAACATCGGGACTTGTAGTGGAACATTGAAGTTGCAGATCATTTTTGTCATATCATATATCCCATAACCAAATAAGTAGTCCTGTTGGTACCTGGGTCTGTGTAGTCCTGTTGGTACCTGGGTCTGTTTAGTCCTGTCGGTACCTGGGTCTGTTTAGTCCTGTCAGTACCTGGGTCTGTTTAGTCCTGTCAGTACCTGGGTCTGTTTAGTCCTGTCGGTACCTGGGTCTGTTTAGTCCTGTTGGTACCTGGGTCTGTTTAGTCCTGTTGGTACCTGGGTCTGTGTAGTCCTTTTGGTACCTGGGTCTGTGTAGTCCTGTTGGTACCTGGGTCTGTGTAGTCCTGTTGGTACCTGGGTCCGTGTAGTCCTGTTGGTACCTGGGTCTGTGTAGTCCTGTCGATACCTGGGTCTGTGTAGTCTTGTCGATACCTGGGTCTGTGTAGTCCTGTCGGTACCTGTGTCCGTGTAGTCCTGTTGGTACCTGGGTCTGTGTAGTCCTGTTGGTACCTGGGTCTGTGTAGTCCTGTCTGTACCTGGGTCTGTTTAGTCCTGTTGGTACCTGGGTCTGTTTAGTCCTGTCAGTACCTGGGTCTGTTTAGTCCTGTCGGTACCTGGGTCTGTTTAGTCCTGTCGGTACCTGGGTCTGTGTAGTCCTGTCAGTACCTGGGTCTGTTTAGTCCTGTCAGTACCTGGGTCTGTTTAGTCCTGTTGGTACCTGGGTCTGTGTAGTCCTGTCAGTACCTGGGTCTGTTTAGTCCTGTCAGTACCTGGGTCTGTGTAGTCCTGTCAGTACCTGGGTCTGTTTAGTCCTGTCAGTACCTGGGTCTGTTTAGTCCTGTCAGTACCTGGGTCTGTGTAGTCCTGTTGGTACCTGGGTCTGTGTAGTCCTGTTGGTACCTGTGTCTGTTTAGTCCTGTTGGTACCTGGGTCTGTTTAGTCCTGTTCGTACCTTGGTCTGTTTAGTCCTGTCAGTACCTGGGTCTGTGTAGTCCTGTCGGTACCTGGGTCCTAGTCATCACCCACCCAACCCAAGTACCCAAATTACCCCGCACCAACCCTCATATATGCATTTTTCAGTATATACAGAGGCTGACATACATTCAGCTCTGGAAGAGTAACATTCAGTCAGCTCCAGGTAAACAGTAGAGTAACATACAGTCAGCTCCAGATAAATGGAAGAGTAACATTCAGTCAGCTCCAGATAAATGGAAGAGTAACATTCAGTCAGCTCCAGATAAATGGAAGAGTAATATTCAGTCAGCTCCAGATAAATAGAAGAGTAACATTCAGTCAGCTCCAGATAAACGGTAGATAAACATACAGGCAACTCCAGATAAACAGTAGAGTATCATTAAGTCAGCTCCAGATAAACGGTAGAGTAACATTAAGTCAGCTCCAGATAAACGGTAGAGCAAAATTCAGTCAGCTCCAGATAAACGGTAGATAAACATACAGGCAGCTCCAGATAAACGGTAGAGTAACATTATGTCAGCTCCAGATAAACGGTAGAGTAACACTGAGTCAGCTCCAGATAAACGGTAGATAAACATTAAGTCAGCTCCAGATAAACGGTAGAGTGACATTCAGTCAGCTCCAGATAAATGGGAGAGTAACATACAGGCAGCTCCAGATAAAAGTTAGAGTATAAACATTAAGTCAGCTCCATATAAATGGAAGAGTAACATTCAGTCAGCTCCAGATAAATGGTAGATAAACATACAGACAGCTCCAGATAAACGGTAGATAAACATACAATCAGCTCCAGATAAATGGAAGAGGAACATTCAGTCGGCTCCAGATAAACGGTAGAGTGACATTCAGTCAGCTCCAGATAAGCGGTAGAGTAACATACATTCAGCTCCAGATAAACAAATTTTACCACAATCACAGTGTGAACAAAGAACAGAAGTACATTACATAAGCTCACATATATAATGTTAATAAAAACAGGACCATTTACCTGCTATGTGCAACATTATCATTCCTTGCAGCTTTAAACATTGTTACACCATCTAGACTGTCAGTTGCAAAGTCAGGTGACAGTAACCGAGGACTCTCGCTTCCCTCGTGCTTGAGCTTCCGCAGTATATCAGTACGTATCTTCTCTCTCAAATCAGCAGCATCATTTCTCTGGACGGGCAAGGTAACGGGATTGATGAAGCCAGCAGGGTTGGCTAAGATCTGGGGCTGGAAAGGGAAGTTGAGGACTGGGACGAAGAGGTTGGGTGGATACTGTCCACTTCTTTGAAGCTGTGCTATGAAATCAGGATGCAAAATGGCTGCTGGCCTATACATTACTACCAACAAGGAGATGTTGTTGAGAGTTTCTGTGATTAGACTGGTTAACCTTGTGACGTCACTAGTTATCTTGGAGGTAAGACGGAGGAAACAGTCAACATGCTTCACACTTTGTGTGAGAACCATCCTCAGGAAACACTCATGGTGAAAGTCTGGAACACAAACAGATCTGAATGAAGAATCAATTCATACATTCATTGCTTTAGGTTGGGAGCTGCTAACAGAAGAGTAAAAATCTGAAATGCACAGTTTCATGACATCTTTTGAAATTGGGTTTAACGTCACGTCCAAGATTATTGCACTTATATAGCGACGTGCATGTATGTGTGTGTTTGTGTGGCTGCTTGTACTAGTCCGGAATGATGCCGATTTATAGTGCTAGCCCACTGAGATACCATGCCGCAGTTTAACATGAATACCCCACTCAGACACAGTATACTGACTCTGAGCTGACCAGTCCTTGTTTTAGCCCCTTAATGCCAGACAGGGTAACAACAAGTACCATCTTTTACTGTCTTTTGGTATGACGTGGCCAGGGATCGGACCCCGGACTTTCCGCTCTCCGGGCGGACGCTCTACCAGTAGACCACGGAGGCGGTCGAATGCTTGAGGGACACAAGTAATACTGACAACAGTAGTCAATAATGTATACGTAACAAGCATCTTGTCTTTCATCCTGAATGTACAGAAACTAAACTTTTAGGTTACTTTTTCAGATTGACTGAACTTAAACTGACATTCACATATATGATTTTCTTTACAAATGTGTAAGTATTTGCTTTAAGTTTAATGCATGCAAGGACTGTACATTTTAACAAGTAAACTACATCCTTTCAAAAGGCTTTCTAACAAACCTTTGTACATTTACAAGACTTATCCTGGTATCAAAGACATGACATATACCAACCAAGTGTTTCCATAAATGCCAAAAACTTCAAACAAATTTAATAACTGTACACTTACATGTATATAACAGTATCAATTGAAACAAAGAATATATATATATATATATATATATATATATATATATATATATATATATTCACAAAAAATAGTGGAACTATTTAAACAAACTCTTCTATTTCAATTTGTTGATCAAAGATGCAAGCATTTGTAACTGAATGGTGTCTATAACTTATAAGTCATTACCTCCCTATACTCTTTAAATCAACCAAGATGGCTACTGTTTTCTGTAAATTGCTTGTTAATATTGCAATAACTAGAAATGCAGTCATCTAAATGTTTTGGCCTAAATGTTTATGCTGAATCAATACATTTCACTTCTGTTTTATCAGATCAACGTAACCAATCATATTTTTTTTTATTTTGGCAAAGGTGTTTGTGTACATAAATTTGAGGATGTTGCAATTTTGTTACATAGAGGATCTAGCTGACAAATACAACTTTGATCGTGATCATGATGAAATTCAACCCAACCGAACATGTTAGGCAAACCAATATTTTGGTTCTGGCATTGATCAGTCCTGTGATAAAAACTTCACCTTTACATTCTGTCAGTTTCACACCTATCCTTATCAGTAGATCTCAGTAATTACTTTCTCCTACAACTTAGTTTTGACAAACAGCTCTCATTACTTACTGCATCAGCTTTAATAGTAACAAATGTCCAAGTGAGATCTTCCTATCGGTCTCACCAAAACTATTTCGATCTACAGCAAGGAAAACAATGACATGTGGTGAACTATTTAAAAGTGCAGTACAGGATTTTATTACTGATCGGAACCCATACCATACCCGTTTAGACGCCACAGGTTGTTAATGAAACAGAAATTGAATGTGTTCACCAACTTTCTATCTTGCACCAATTGAAGTTCACGTGTGCTTGGTGAGTTAACTCCCTTGTGAGTTAAACGTAATCAGATTTCGCGCTAATGTGAACTTCGTCATCATTTTCGCTTACTTCCTGACGTCAGCTGCTAAAGAACGAAATGGCGTGAAGGGTTGCATTTCAACGAATTTTTCAGTTTTACACAACCTTCCAGTTTTTACCGTTGACCTTAACATGTGACAAGCGAAAGATAGACACTTAAGGTGTTTAATTATCAGTGTATTCGTGTACGGTATTAGTAATATCAGAAATGAGCGTAGATGCGTATGGGCCAAGCTCGCAAACTTTGACTTTCCTGGATACCGAAGAAACCGACCTTCTGGGCGCAGATACACAAGGATCCGACTTCGACTTTACAGATTTTACCCTTCCATCCCAGACCCAGTCTCAAACTCAAGCCTCTCAGCTTGATGGGGGGCAAAGTCAGAGCCAAGGCCAGGTAAATTTAGAGAATTTTCGCAACCACGTGTATTTCCCATTCTCAGGTGCAAGTCCGGGTCAATCACGTTTTAAGAAACGGGTTTGGGAAGTAGCACGCCCACATGTTTGCCAAAGTGTTAGTCATACCATTTTATTCTGACGTGCCTAATCATTTAAAAACGAAAATATAAATAAGTCTGAATGTCTTTTGTTAATGAGTCGCCAACACATATTGCTTATCAGCTCTATTTTCGTTATGACCTATTTTCGGTTTGCAGTTGGCTTAGTATTTCAATGTGGGTTCCTGTTTGTTTATTGGTGTTGTCATGGTTAGAAAGTTTATTTGTATAGATTAACTGCATCATTTCCATATTGTTGTATATATTTTGCAAAATTCTCCAGTTGCCATAAACTGTTTATGCAGTTCAATCTAATTATAACCCGCCTAAATTGGTGAAAATTGTGCATGTATGCATCAATGTCAATTGTTACTCATACTATCAACCACTAGGTTACCAGACCTAGACTTGATTTTACAGGCCAACATGATATTGATGGAGTATTGCTGACTGCAGCGTAAAACATCCCTCGCATTTGAATATTTAATAATTTATTTAAAACAACTTTGTCAGTATGGACAATATATGTAAATGGTCATTCAAAGTTTCCTAAATGTACCTGGTATGAATGTGAAGTGATTAGTAAAATAACAGTCTGTGCCAAAACCTTGAGTCCATTAGCCAGAGCTTGGCTCTAAGCACCATTTTCAGTAGATTTTATTAATATATGGCATTTATCATGTTTATTAGCTGATCTTACTAGACCAACAGAATTTTACTAGACTCAGGCTTCGGACTAGTGGCTGAAGTTGCAGACAGAAATAACTGTACTTCCATAGTACAAATCAAACTTCAAAGGGCGAGTGCACTGCAGAAGGCCACAAGCACTATACCTGTTCATCTCCAGGATACAATTATTTTGCAGTCATTCCAAGTTATTCATAAAGTAGGTGAACTCGCCATGTTTCGTGAGTACTTGCCACAGCCAAGATAAGAAATCTCACTTATCAGCTTTATCAGGATAGACTTTTTAATGTTCATTAAGGCTTATAAACGTGTAACATGTTTTGACATCTATCTAGGTTACTGAATCCTTTGTTGCCCTCTGTTACTAATTTATGGGGACCTGAAAAGCAGAATGTGACCACTGACTAAGACTTTTGTATGGAAATTCTTCTTGCCTAATATATCCTGAGTAACTGAGAAAATGATGCTGAAACTGTGAAAAACAAGTTTGGACTGCAGTGTTCATTCAAAGTGATGGCATCACTACATGACCACATGTGTTTCAATTGCAATTCAAACATTATGAACTAAGTGCTGTAGTTGGGCGCATGGTTTGAAATACAAATTGATCTTGTATCGTAAACATAGCATACCATTGCAACAGAAAAGACGTGTATTCGAAATGTTAGGAACTCAGTTCCATACAGTTGTGTGACAACTTTCTTAACTGCTAAATTAGATCAAAGGGAAAAAAGTTTCACTGTTAGGACCTTTGTTGTAAAGTGTTTGAGGTTGATGTACCCATTGCAGGTATCTGAAACATGAACAATGATGAAACAGGCTGTTTGATGATGTTGATTGGCTTATTCTATAAATATGGGTAAAGCTCCCTATCCTCTTGTCTGATAATCAACAGTTGAATTGTGATTTAATCAAGCTTAATTTTATTGAGTACCAAAAGGAAATCCCGGACACCATTTCTGATTTTGGAGATGAGCAAGCACAATAACAAGTGTCACTTATACTGTCAGGCTTGCTATCGCTTTATTGTCCTAGCGTTATCTTCTAACCGTCAATAAAAGTTGCTCTCTCTGTACTTATTATATTTAAATGGTCCCACCTTTGTCATTGTTTTGGCCAAAGGGCCCTACAGTTTCAGCAGCCTGAATGAACACTGTACTAGTCATGATAGCCTCAAAAGGTTTTGGCACAGACCAGAGAGAATACAACTCAATGCCTTGACTTGAACCGTTGACAGACTTTATAAGGTCACATTGTCAGTAGGCCTTGATGGCACTTATCAGTTCTCATACTAGGAAAAAATAGGAAGTTGTTTACCTGCTCTGTAGTAACTTGTACATGTACTGATAGAGACATTACATCGGCGTTCACACATAGGACACGTATACATGGTATAGTGGCATATATATATTCTAATTGATGGTATCTACAACAGAGACAAACTGTGAAGATCCAGGTTAGAATTGGTCTTCAGCAAACTATGCTTGTTGTAAGAGGCAACTAACGTGATCGAGTAATCAGGCTCACTGACTAGGTTGATGCATGTCATTGTATCCTAAATGTGGAGATCTATGCTCATGATGTCAATCCATGGACCGTCTGGCCCGGACTCAATTATTTACAGACTGTCGTCATTTAGCTGGAATATTGCTGAGTGCGACATAAACAACAAACAGAAAACAGTGTTTTATTTTGTTGTGACATGATTTCCTGATATGATCTTTACATAGTGGCACTAACTAATGTGATGACCTGATTCTCGTTGAATTCTACAGTCCTCTGCTGTCTCACTCTAAGGCAAATCAATTCACGGTGTAGATCTGCATTTCTTAGGCATACCAGAATTCCATGTTCAGGGGTTTGAATCCCACATTCATCCTCATTACAACTTTTATAAATAAGGATTCTCAGTTCCATATCCATGCTCGTGGGTTTTGCAATAGTGGTAAACATCTAAGACCTGCATCACTTTTGGATTTTCTCCCACCTCAACATGATGACTAGGTGACTAGTTGTGATGTATCTGAAATACTGTCTGAAGCAGTGTTAAGCTCACACACTCACCTACACACCAATGACAAAAAACAAAATATTCTATACCCGCAACCTATTTCGTTGTTATCGTCTTAAAATGGACACTGTCTGTCCGTGCAAGCAGCGTTAGAAATTGGCACTAGTCCTGTAGTCCTTGCCAAACTGCCCAATAATTAAGGTATCCTAAGGACTAGTAGAAATTTGCCATTTTAAGTGTTTTGCTATATGTTATCATTATAAGGACTAATGGTCTAAAAATGTTAGTTTCTACCTCTGGCAAGATGTCTTCTCCGGAGCAGTTCTTGAAAAACGTACCATATTTGGTACAAAGATAGATCTAGTGGTGAACTGGTGGTATCGTGATAGTTCAGGATTTATTTTAAATATAGTTTTCGGGGTTTGGGCAAAACCTTTGACTTAGGGTGAAAATGGGGGTAGTGCTCTTTCCAGAGCAGGTCTTGAAAAACATACTATATTTCTTCACCAAACTTGTCCCATAGATAGGTCTAGTTGGGAACTTGTGCCTTTTAATAGTTTGGGATTTTATTTAAATATATCTTTCAAGTTTCCATGGCATCAAGTTTTTATATATATTCACGACAAGTATTATGACTTGGTTGTCATATTTTTTGTGTGCATCACCATGAATTCATTTTTGCCGCTTGTGATTATTAAAGAAAGACAATTATCAGTATCATATATCAAAAGAGCAACTCTCTTACTACCCAGTAATCATGCCAATTTGGCTGGTGGCCTACACCATCCAAGCACATACGAAAAAACACATTTTCATGTAAAAGTGTTGTGAATTTAGAAACAGTATGACCATGCAACACCAATATTAAACCAACCATACCATGTTGTGACAGATCACTGTCGCCAGGTTGATGTGAATCACGTAACGTTGATATTACATAACTCATGACAGCTGAAAATGCATGTGGCAAGGCGTGTTGCCTCAAAATACATATACATGAGGACAATGTGCAATGATAACAATATGTCATTTATCTTTTTCTTTTCACAACTGCATTTGAAAGTGGATATCACTCCTGGTAAATCGTCCTTTTCTCCTTGTTGCTGTCTATACTTTTCAAATCAAAGGTATTCAGTATGGTAGTAAAAACTTTGTTAATCAGGTAATTCTTTATTGGTACAATTGGTAAACATTATATTTAACGCTTAGAATTAAAGGCCAGAAAATTAATACGTGCTGTGTCCGACAGTACTTGCGTTGGTAATCAGTTTTCATTTATCATTGATAATTGTTTGTATTGAGAATGGTTCCAAGCAATCAATCATTGGCTATGATTGGTTTCTATTGTCATTGTTTTTTGTTTCAAGCTGTCAAACTTAGTCTGCAGCAGAACGTTTTGAATCCTCTTGCCCAAACTTGTCCATCTGCATCTCCTTATGGAGCAGATTTACCTCCAGACATATTGGCTATCACAAGCTAAGCTTACAAAACTGAATGAGCAAGGGAGTTAACTGACAGTAAAAGTCAAGTTTCACACATCTACACATCATTGACACAAAGTCCGGTCACAATTTTCTCTTCTTCTTTTTTAGTATTTCAAATATTTTCCCTGTCTGTCCACATGGACTGGCAGTCACATGAATTTACTGGTCCAAGCTTAATTTTACCGGTAAGAAAATGGTTATGACTTGTAAACGGGAACACTGCTGTAATTCCAACTTGGGAATATGTGCTGACATTTGCTGCAGACTAGGTGTTCAATATCGGCCTCAGAATCGGTATAGATAAATCCCT